TATGTTTAGTTCATCTGGCTATAGAGGGACCATTTCCATTTTCACAGTGCTCAAATTGTAATGACCATTAGCACAGAATGCCAGGCAATGTCCTCCGCTGGCATAAATCCGCACACTCCCTTGAAATCACTGATTTTATTGGCGCTAAAGCAATTGTCATTTGCTGAGGATCTGGCCCCACCGTTTACAAGTTAAATACAACATTGTTAATTAAGGGCTCGATCCTGCAGAGCTCTGAGCTCACTGGTGAGGTGCTGAGTGCAGTGGAGTCCCACTGAAGTGAATGTGGGAGATGCTGACAACTCCCAGGAGTGCTCAGCACCAAGAGACCAAACTAGCAGCTAGGGGCTTTTCTAGACACGCAATAGCACAGCTGTAACTATGTGATTTTAAACTGACAGTCAAACTGGTGTGAAGCTCTGTGTGGACCCACTTGTTTCAGTTTAAATCAGGCTTCCTTTGGTTTAGCTTAAATATATTGAGAACAGGTTTAAGCTGAACAGAACTATAAGCCTCTCTTAAACGAAAATAATAGTGGCATCAGATTTACTAAACTGGTGAAAGTTTGTGTGCATACAAGGCCTAAAAATGAGAAAAGCTGATTCTGTTTGACTTAGTTCGTTCTCATATTTTCTGTGCTCAATTAAAACATTGATTTTTCCCCCTCCCCCTTAAAATTAAAAAAAAAAAAAGTAGGGCCCAATCCTCAGCTGGTGTTTCTGACATGGCTCCCCCGCCCTGCTTTAAATTGTTTGTGCAGCTCAGTAGCGAAAAATTATTTGTCCAATCTAATGAAATTATGATGTTTACAAATACAATATAGACACAGGTCCTGATGCTGAAAACACTTAAGCACATGAGTAACTGTACGAAGTGGATGCATCCGACGAAGTGAGTATTCACCCACGAAAGCTCATGCTCCAATAGGTCTGTTAGTCTATAAGGTGCCACAGGACTCTTTGCTGCTTTTACAGATCCAGACTAACACGGCTCCCGCTCTGATACTTGTACTCACCTGGTATCCCCATTGGAGCCCATTGGGAGGAAGCATTATGGTACTTTAAAGGATAGTTTTTGAATGAATGTAATGCTCCTGTGAGTTGCCCAGCTGTCAGCCTTGTATACTGAGGCTGAGATTTTCAAAAGTAGAGACCTATGTTGTTAGGCTCAAAGAGCCACATTTAGGTAACTTACGTAATTAACTGGTCCGATTTTCAAAAATGCTGAGCATGCAGCAACTTCCACTGAAATCAATGAGAGTTTTGCCAATGACTTCAGTAGGAGCAGAAGCAAGTTCATGATGCCCAATGACATCACTGCATAAAAGGTCTGATCAGCCCCCAAGTGCCAGTTGTGCTGGTGCAGAAGTTGCAATGTACCGTGTGCATCTCCTGCACTAGAGAATAATGAATCTGCTACTTGCACTGAAGCAAGATCTTTAGTGCCATGACAGAGGCCTGAGGATGGATTCATAAGCTGGATTTAAAAAATCCAACATTAAGGCACCACTTGCTTTCAACCAATGCTTAGCTGCCACCTAGCCCTGTAGGTACCTAAATTCAGGTACCTAAATTCAGGTGACATTGTAAATAAGAAGCGAGCAGCATTATCTCCTGTAAACGTAAACAAACTTGTTTGTCTTAGTGATTGGCTGAACAAGAAGTAGCACCGAGTGGACTTGTAGGCTCTGAAGTTTTACATTGTTTTGAGTGCAGTTATGTAACAAAAAAATCTACATTTGTTAGTTGCAGTTTCACGACACAGAGATTGCATTACAGAACTTCTATAAGGTGAATTGAAAAATACTAATTTTTTATCATTTTTACCGTGCAAATATTTGTAATAAAAAATAATATACACTTTGATTTCAATTACAGCACGTTACAATATATAAGAAAATACAGAAAAACAAAAATATTTAATAAATGTCAATTGGTATTCTATTGTTTAACAGTGCAATTAAAACTGCAATTAATCGCGAAAAAAGAATTTTTTTTTAGTTAATCACATGCGTTAACTGCTATTAATTGACAGCTCTAAAAAATACAAGTCTGAGATGTCTTGCTTTATAAGAAGGCAGCAAGTCTAGAGGTTAGGGGAGGGGTCTGGAAGTTAGGACACCTGGGTTCTTTTTTTATGCTTGCCACTGACTCTCTCTGTGATCCTGAGCAAGTCATTCACCTGTCTATGCCTCACTTTTCCCATCTGTACTATGAGGATTATACTGTTTAGTCACCTGTGTAAAGTGGTTTGAATTCCTAAGGTGCAATGAGTAAGTGTTACCATCTCTTTCAGAATATGTCTAGAAATGAAGACACCTACGTGGAGTCCTGTACACCACTTTCCCGACAAGTTTCTTTGTGGCCTGATTGTCGCAGCCAGTCTTTTCCTTCTCTCAGGTATAGTTATTTCTAATCTGTGAACACTTGACTCTGAGCTGAAGCCCCCTGGCTGGTGCACAAGGACTTGGGAGGAGGGTGTGAAGAACTTCTACTAGCAACCAAGGGGCGAGAGGTAATTGGCCAGTCCCCCTGCCCCAGCTGGCTCCTGGCATATGCTGCAGTCAACAGCAAGTGCTAGTCAGCAGCTGGACACGGCATGTTTTACACCTGCTGTAAGGAGCAGGAAATTGACTTCGGCAGCACTTCCCACCCTCAGGGACCCTGCCTGCTACAAGTTGGATGTATCTGCCAGCTTCTTGGTTCTTATTTGCTATGTTGGCTGCTTCCACCTAAGGCAGGATCTGGCCCCTGCTGCCATATGTTGTGCAAACACTGCATCTGCAAAGCTGTTTCTCACCATGAAGATGTTATTAAATGGTTTGCGCCCAGGTGTGAATGCACTTTCCTCTTGCCCTGGCAGCCTCTCGCCTACATTTTTCTCAAAGCTTTCCTCTCTTCCTTCTACTCAAAACTATGAGCAGCTACGCTTCCTTGGCCATTCTTACCCTCCTGTCCTTCTTCCCTGAGCAAACGCTGGGCCAGCCTCTCAGCTGTGGTAGGGCACACCTTCACCCACGCAGCTGGGTAAAACTCTCCTGGGCCGCAGCTGAGAATCAGGGATGCTATTTTGCACATCACAAGGTTAGGAAAAACCCACCGCAAGGGTATCTGAGTAATCCTTGTTTGCAGCTAGCACATCATCCTGCCATCAGTGCACTTCCCACACACCATGATGATAATTTGGGGCAACACAGAGCAGGAAGTAAATGCCTATTTTTGACTCATCCATAGCTAGTGCGCACACGTAGACGGTAAAGTGCCTGCTTGTTGGATTTTTTTCCTGTGAGGTTTCCTTATCCTTCCACACTTGAAGGGCTAACATTTTCCCAGTGTCATTTTACTCAGCATAAAGGGAGATCATGTCTTTGATTTGCTGGCTTTATCATGTTCGAGGAAAAGCCAAAAGTGAATGCTTGTGCTGAATTGCCTTGAAATAACTCAGGCATTGAATCAGCTGCTCTTTGTTCTGTTTCATGAACACACCAGACCCCATGTTATCCACTCCTGGATATGACATCTGCATAATAATTGCTTCCAGGCCATTTTTGCTTATTTAATTTATCTCGACTTTCACATTCTAGCCTCAAGAATAATTCCGGGGGCAAGGATAATTCAAGATTTAAAAATGCATCCTACTATATAATTCAGCGGGAGCCATTGTCAACACCAAACCACTTCCTAGTCCACAAAAAACTGAGCTCCTTATTCCCAGCTTTAGCCACCTCTGAAAAAACAGGGGGTAAACATCTGGACCTCACCCTTGTGAGGAAATGTGGCTCCAGCTCTCCGACTACACTACAAGTTACTTCACTATAACTTAAGGTCGCTCAGAGGTCTGAATAATCTCACCCGTGAGCAACGTAAATTATACTGACCTAAGCACCAGTGTAGACAGCACTAGGTTGGAGGGAGAGCTGCTCACATGGATATAGCCACCGCCTCTCGTGGAGGCAGGAGTTATGAAGCCGAAGGAAGAGCTTTCTCCCGTCAGTGTAAAGTGTCTCCACCACATGCGGTGCAGCTGCACCACTGTAAGTGCTGGAGTGTAGATGTAGCCTCAATTGCTGCTGAGCTGTGTTCTTCACAGCAGGACAGAGATGGATTTATGCCACCTTCACCCACACTCCTGCCCCATCAGAACTGGCCAAAAGTCAAATTAACGCCTGATGCAGTTTAGAGCAGCCTGAGGGCTGCTGTAAGTTATGGTTGGCTGCAGTGGCTCCGAAGAGGTTGCTCTATGATCTGGAGATTGCTGGAGCACAGTAATGCTCTGGCCACCCATAAAGAAAGGATGCAGAGGTCAGATTAGATTATCATGATGGTTCCTTCTGAGCTTAAAGTCTAAGAGTTCTGCCAACCTAATGCCTCCTGGGGGTTACCCTAGACTGGGGGAATTCCAAGAAGCTGGATTCAAAGCTCTCTTATAACTATGCAAAGGATGACCAAGATCTGTGCTGTGTTCTCTTGCACTGTTTGAGAACTGAATCCACTCTACTTGGGCTGAAAATGATGATCTCCGTCTGTCTGTCCCTTTCTGTTATGATGCCACTATAGATCTTATTCTGCAGTCCCGACAGGTGAAATGTCCACTGACTTCATGCCCAGAAGTATGTTCATGGGGATTCCCACTGCTGGGTTGGGCTCTACATTGTAAACCAACCAAATTAGATACACGGGCCCAGATTTTTCTGTGCCTTGAGCCTTATTTATTCATTTACACCTCAGCCCAGTGGGTATAACATGCTGCCTTTTGGATTTCAACTCCCATACACCCTTACTCACAGGTGTCAATGGTGACACCACATGCAGTCCAACAGGCCTGATTCTAATCTGGACTGGTGTAGGTCAGGAGTAACTCAATTTAAACCAGTAGAGTTGCACTGATGTAAAGGAGATCAGGACCAGCATATTAGAACGTGAGGTTGGTACAATGACCTGAGCTTTGGAATTCAGGGACTCCCACACACATTAGATATCAGGCCAGGCTGTGATTATGTATCATAGCAAGTACTTTATTGATACCGTGGGAGAAAGAGGCTTTGGTAGAAAAGCAACGCTTCAGTTTTAATTGGCCACAGAGAGTTAGATCATAAATCAATCAGTGCTTCTGATTTGAAGCATATGTAGCAGATGGGGGAAGTGTCTCCTGGTTTCACGAGTTCATGACGTGTGTAACCTTTATTCAAAGTGCAAACAATCACTTGAGATTTACAGGTCTGCTTTGACTCAGGGGATTTACAGTGTATGGCTAGCAATCAGGGTTTGGGGTCATTAGAGAAAGGGATTGGAAAAAGCATTGAGATATGGTAATAAAGGCTTCAGCCCCATGGCAGTTCTCTCCTAAACGGAATAAATCTTTAATTAATGAAACATATGTAAACGTGTTAGGAAGATAGTAAGGCAAGCCTGTAAATCATCACTCCACGGACAGCCTGACTTATACTGTGGATCGAAAGATTGTCCCTATGCCTCATTGTCCCTATGCCTTGCCACATATATGGGTCCAAATTATCTGCTGGTGTTAATGGGCCAAATGGAGCAATGATCATTTACACCAGAAGAGAATTTGGCTCATGGCCTCTCTCAGGCAAGGACCGAAAACTTGATATGAAAAGATTGTGGCACGCACTATGTTCTGTGGGGCTTTGTATAGAATAAAGAGTTCAGTTTTGCAGACTAATTTCATTCTCTGATGGCAGCAGCCACCTTCACTCTGGGTTCTTGGCAGGGAAACAGAGAGTTTTATTGCTGGACTGCAGCTGATGTGTTCTTTTTCCATTAGCGCTTATTTAGGTTCTAAACAGATCATAAAAAAAAGAAGCAACAAAATATTCCTGCCCTTCTTCCTAACCCACTTCATAGTATTTAATGACTACAGTCAGGTGCTGGGAACAGCTAACAGCAGCAAGCACCCACATTGAGTAAAGACTTCCTCTTTGGGAGTGTAGCTCTAGGCAGTCATGGCAGGGTATGAATGCCTCTTGTTTCTAGCATAGCTCAAGAGAGGTGCTCTGCATTGTGCTGGCAGCCAAGGCTTCTCTGATGCAAAGAGCTGGAAGGGAAGTGCCCAGCCTTGCCCCCGTGACTGAACTGCAGCAAACATTACACACTTTCCTAATTTTGTGTAGTACGGGGGATTTTAATTTATAGACGTTTGGGAAAGGTTATGGGATGGTTATGACTCCAGTGGGACTATTTGTTTGCTACTCAGTCTGATTAAAGGCTGCAAAATCAGGAACTTTCTGACCCGGAGCTGGGCAGGTGCGTCGTTACAGACATGCTGACAATACTGCAACACTAGGGCTAAGGTGATAAGGGCAGCAAGAGCTAACAAGTGTAAAGAAAATAATTAAAAAGAAAACTATCCCATCTTTTCTGAGTACGCCCAAAGGGCCCGATCCTATTGTTGTCACACACCCTACCTTGCATGAATGTGCCCATGGAAGTCAAGGATACTAAGACCTTCATTTCTCCGTTCTGCTATGGCGACTTTGCACCTCTCTGATGGTGCAAAGGGACTGGGAGCCATGAGGACCTGGCCAGCCATTAGTTCCCATTGTGTTGGGGGGGACCCCCACAGTACAGAGCTGGCTGAGCAGGGCAAAAGGGCCAGTGCGGAATGGAGAATGAGGCCCAGGTGGCCAAATTCTGCCCTAACATGCACCCATGGGGTCTCATGGCAATTTGTGTGTGGTCTGAATTCCAAACCCAGATCCAAATTCTGCCAATAGCTTCTATATTCAGAGTGGGCTGAAGCAGGACCTCTGGTCCAAACATCTGCACTCAGTGTTAGGGCCTTTGAAATCCAGAGCTGAATTCTGTGCCCATTTCAATGTAACAGACTTGAAAATCCCTGGGCTTTTCTTTAAAATGAACAGGGGTACTTGTGGCACCTTAGAGACTAACAAATTTATTAGACCATAAGCTTTCGGGGGCTACTGCCCACTTCTTTGGATGCATCTAATAAATTTGTTAGTCTCTAAGGTGCCACAAGTACTCCTGTTCTTTTTGCGGATACAGACTAACACGGCTGCTACTCTGAAACCTGGCTTTTCTTTGTTCATTCAGACCTACTTAGGTTTTCTTTGTCAGTGGTGTAGGAGGCCTCAGCTCTGCATTTCAAAGAGAGAAGGAGCCAGAAATAGAATAAACCTTTAATTTTTCGATCATCTTGTGATATTGCTAAAGAGAGTGATTTGGAAAACGGCTGTCATATGATGGGCACAATCCATTTACATGCAGCAATTATCCTAATAGAAAAGTACCTGAATGAGGTCATGTTGCAACTTTCTCTCTGAAAAGTGAGATTTTCTTCTTCTTTTTCACCCTCCCCCACCCCTTTTTTTACAGAAACAAATTTCCTGAAAGGAAAAAAACTGGATTTACTTGGAAGGAATGATAAGTACGTATCCTTGGCCAACACCAGCATCCCCTCACTATGCCAATTCACTGTGTGCATTGATCTATACAGAACCACAAATGTCAGTTCTTGGACAGCATTTTCATACCAAACAGACAGCAACTCTACTGACATAAATGATCTCGAGCTCGGACTCTGCGGTGAAAACAAACATCTAAGACTGTATCTTTTTGGCACAGAGATAGACATTGAGCTTGATTTAATTCTTTTTATATGGCACAGTGTGTGCTGCATATGGGATGGTAATAAGAGACTGCTGGAAGTCTACCACAATGGCACCCTATTGTCTGATAAAGTGATTAACGGAACCATGTGCCTGGAACCAGCCGGGAGCTTGGTGCTAGGGCATTTGCACAAAATCCAGAATGGCTATATCGTTCGGGGCAGCAGCAGCTTCGTTGGCAGCTTGTACTACTTTCAACTGTGGGACAGAATCAGAGAGCAGAGTGAGTTAACGAAATGTTCCCCAGGAAATATCGTCAGCTGGAGGGAGGATTATTGGCACTTTGACAACATAGTTCCAATCGCTGACCCTCATCTACGCTGTGGTGAGTAGTCTGCAATCATTTTTTCTCCCTGAGGATATAGGTGGTGATAAAAACAGGGCATATGTAGCATGAAACATAGAAATCTCCTGGAAATGACATTCTGCCATTGCACAGCGATATATAATGACAAAGAACAAGTAAAATCTACAGGCTACACAGCTTTCACCGGTTACACTGTCTGAGGCCAGGAATGTTACAGTGCTGTACATAGACACTTGGAAAATAACTGAATTTAGTTACACTATAAATTGTAATTCCTTCAGAGCTTAATGTCGGACCCTAGCATGACCACTAGACAAACACTGTTTGCTTTTTCACTTGCATTTACGAATAACAACTCTTACGAAACGTACAGATGCTAAGTTTCACAGCTATCGAGGTTCAGAAAACAAGACCAAATCACAGAAACAACCTGGGCCAGATTCTGACCTCCATGCAGAGCAACTTGAGTGCTGGCATAACTAGCCGCAGGAGGATCACCCCAGCGTACAAGCATCCTCCAGGTGCATAGAGCTGCTGTAGAGGCTCCTATACCAACCTCCCTCCCTGAGGGTGGCCTAGGGGTGTGGATGGGGGAAAACTGGTGTAGCCAGGCCCTCCCTGCACCTTGACTATTCCTAGCTGCTGTAACAGCTCCTCAGGGGTCACTGGCAGCTGGCGCAACTTAGAGCAACCCCTCAGGCTGCTGTAAATTGTGGTGAGGGATTAACCTGGCATACAGCTGGCCCAGCACTGAGGGAGGTAAAAGGAGTTCAAAGACACTTCTGGATCTTCGCTGTTTGAGTTGCGCTGAGTACCCCTAGGGCACAGCTCAGGAGCTGAGCCCTTGTAATGATACAGTCAAAAGTGACTGACAAATTCTCAAGCAACATAGCCCCTTTGACTTGAATAGAGTTAGGCCAGCAGTGAAGGTGACCCATCATGTCCTAACAGGTCTAGTGACAGGCTCCCACATGACATGGGGCACCCAAAAACAAACACTTTCCCTTTTAGCCTGTGATAAATGCTATATACTAGGAGTGGGTGCGCTAGCAAAAGGGGAGGGGTGAGGAGTGGGGACTAGACCCAATCTAAACAGTATTGCAGACTATTGATTTATATTGTCTTGTTGGCACCTAGATATTACAATTCCTCGAGATATTTTAAAATGCTTTCTTCTAACCAGATGGGAAGGCAACATCATAATTGGAATCTTTAAAACCAATGGTTATAACTGATTTAAATGATCATGGGGGACCTTCAATTTGAGTGACATACTGGAGGGCTCATGCCGCCAGTACTAAAACATCCTTGAAATTTCTAAACATTATAGATGACAATTTCCTAACTCAAAAAGTATTGCAGCCAACATGAGGGAATTCTTTATTCAACCTGGTCTTAGCAGATAGAGGAACTGATCAGAGAACTAAAATTAATGTTTGCTAAAGTACAAGTGATCATACTTGATCGCACTTATAATGTGCAAGCAGAACAAAGTCCAGAGTAGTAATATGTATTCTTGGTGTTTTAAGACAGCCACTTTCACAAAGCTGAAAACAATTGAGCCAAGTCAGCTGGGAGGAAGAATTTAATCAAAAAAATGTGAATGATAATTGGCAGTCTTTTAAGAACACCTAATTAGATGCTGAAAAATCCACAATCAAGGAAGACGTTACCAGTTAAAAAGCCAAACTGGTGTACGGGGGAAGTGAAGGCAGCTATAAAAAGAAAAAGAAAAGACAAATGGAAGAAAGAGGAAATTGGTAGTAATGAATATAAACCACAAATTAGAGATTGTAAAAAAACTGATAAGGAAAGCAGAGGGACACAAGGAGAAATCTATGGCCAGCAGAGTAAAGGGGAAAAAAAAGTTTTTTTGAATATATCAGGGGAAAAAAGCAACCTAAAATGGTATTGGTCCATTACTAGGTCGAAATGGTAAAATTATCAATAATAATACAGAAAAGGCAGAACTGTACTTATTTCTGTTCCGTATTTATGGAAAAAACAGATAATGTCATATGGTGATGAGACATTCTTTCCATTCCACTAGTATCTCAGGAGGACATTAAACAGAAGCTACTTAAGTTAGACATTTTTAAATCATCAGGTCCAGGTAACTTGCATCCAAGAGTTTTAAAAGAGCTGGCTTAGGAACTCACTGGACCATAAAAGCTGATGTTTAGTAAGCCTTGAAGAACTGGGGAAGTTCCAGAAGACTGGAAGAGAGCTAATAATCTGACTTCAGTGGCAGCTGAGAGTGCTCAGCCCTTCTGCAAATCAGACCCCAGGGTATCAAGCTGGGCACCCCAAAAATGAGGAACACACAATTAATAACCCTCTGGGACAGGTTTGGTTTAAGTGACTTGCCCAGCACCACATAAGAACTCTGGGCCAGGAGGCTATCCCTGCAGAGGACTCCATTTCTCCAGGGCAACATTCAACTGCATTAACTTTGAGAGCATCCTCTCTTCCACCAGTCCTCTGCCTCCTTCACTACACACCTTCCAGCTTCTGCAACAAATGAAGCAGGGTGTCTATAGACAATAGCCTCCTTTACTACACAACCCTGATTCACCCCAGAGCAAGTCCGTCCTGTGCACTCAATGAGGCAGGGGTCCTATCGGAAAAATAGTATGTGATCTTCTAATAAGACTCTACCGTAATGCATAGGCACAGGGGAGACAAATTAAGGCAACTTTAATCTTGGCATTTCCTAACTTTTGAATGCTTGACTCTGCATCTTTATTAATGTTGTTTTAACAGTTTGATTTGGGGGAGGGTATATTTTCCAGGGTTTTTTTTAAAAAAGCAAACTGAAAAATCATAAACAGAAATTCCATCATGTGGCATCATACTGACACCCACAAGTCATCAGCAGGGCTGGAACCTCTAGATCCACCACACAGACCCGTCACTTGAGCTAACAGAGTAATTTATAACAGTAGTAGGTTGTCATCCTCTATGTGGACCAGCACTAGAGGGGGATGAGATACATGCTTTGCCAGTGGGATATGTGGAGAAATGGTCTGGAGGGAAGTGTTCTGTAGCGGGCACAGACTCTTCTTCCCATTTCCCCCAAACTTGACCCCTTCTGCCCCATCTCTTCCAGGCTGTTCTTGTCACAGTCCTCAGGCTTCTCATCCCAGTACCAATTGCAATGCCCAGCCAGTCCTTGTTTCCCACTCTGGGCTCACTGCCCAAATCCAAATCTCCTTCCTGACTCTTACTCTCTCCCGCCACACCACATCCAGTCCCAGGATCCCTTCTCAGCCAGTCCCAGTTGCCCCCTCCTGGCTCCTTAACCAATCTATCTCTCCCTCCCCTTCTCCCTGCCCACTGACTATCATTCCCAGTCTCCCTCTCTGGGCTCCTCATCCAATCTCAATCTCCTCCCATCCTCTCTTTGGCTCCTTGCCCCAGTCTCTGCCCAGCCAGTCCTAGTTCTCACCCTCCCACATACCTAACTCCTTATCAGATCTCTCTCGTCTAGTCCCCCCACCCCACCGGCTCCTAGTCCTAGTCTCTTTGTCCAGCCCTCCTCTACTCTGCCTGGGTGCCAGCTGCAGGGTCATTGAGAGCACATGAGAGAAAGGGTCTCAGTTCTGGTATCTGGCCCCACTTGTCCCATAGCAGCTGGCAGCAGTAACGACACGGAAAGTTATTTTGAGTTTCCCTAGTTTGGACTGGAGCATGTTCAGCACTCTGTGGGGTCAGTGCATGTGTAATCTGTTCAGTACTAGGAGCTGTGAGGGGATGGAGCACGCTCACTGAGGACAAAATCTTCAGGGGATTTAGCGACAAAAATCTAAGTCTCCACTAAGCATCTGTAAGCTGTGATTTTTCAAAGGTTTATAACTTGGCCATATTAGGGCAGATTTTCACAGGGAGGGCAAAAGGCACATTCCTGACACCGTGGTGACCCCCTACCTAATTTTAAGCCCCCACTCTAAAGTATGGGGGTGCTAGATTTATTCCAAGAAAAGGTCATCAGAATTTTCCAACATGGGTAACACACGGTTCTTTTCCCCAGCCTTCTTCTTGGAAATGGCTGAACTTTTTTCACTGGCGTGGAAGATTTCAGATCAAACATTTAAAGACTGGCAAAGTTATAAGCAACTGAAACCAGAGTTTTATAATGAGCAGTGTCGGTAACCTTGTGCTACCCCACCTGTAATGTTAGGAAGTTCAGAAAAGTGGGTAGATGTTTAGTTAGAGTAAAGGCTATGGAATCCTGTTTTGCTCAAAGACTAACACTATCGTTTTGTAAACCTACTTACAGGAGGGTTGTAAAGTTTAATTATATTTCAGAATCTTGTGTCAGATCTTGGATATATTTTATAGGAACATTTGTATACACTATATATTTCTTCCTTTGCTTTTTATTACCACTTTAACAACTGAAATTTCTGAGCAACTTATCGTACTTAGAGACACTAAATAGAAACAAACAAACAAACAAACAAACAAAAAGGCTCACTTGGGATAGCAATGGGTGTTATAAATATATGGGTTGCGCTTTATGTGCCATTTATCAGAATTACAAAGTTTCAATGAGCACTAATTTTTATGCATGGTTTGTAGTGGACTAAGGCACAGAGGCTCAGTGAGAATGTTTGTAGCACCGGTATCACTGCATTTTAGAGGGCAGAAGCCAGAAATAACCTTGCATAGTAGATGCTATGTAACAAAATGCCATGTCACAGAGCTATTTAAATGCTAGTGACATCCCTTGAATGGGAGTTTGCTTGTGCGTATGCTGTAGGATTTATGCTCTGAAAAAACTATGATTATTGGTGTTTGCAATGCAGTTTGTTCCCATTTACAGGTGTTTGTATAGCTGGACATCACTTCGGTTTACTGTGTTCAGTTAAACATAAAACTAGATAGCAAACATGGAGTTTTACAGGGGAACTGTGTGACGGGTTGGGTCACAGAAACCCTGTTGGAACTGCCACCTAATCTCTGAGCCTATTTTCTTGGGACTTCAGTACCCTGTCTTGTTGAGTCAGACACGCTAG